CCACGACCTCAATCCCATGGGTGTCTCAGTGTGGTCAGCCTTTGAGATAGATGCATCCGTTAGCCCAAACAACAAGAGAAATAATCACGAAAACGCCTTGCAAAAAGCCGGGATCAGCTCGATGACCTCAGCTGCGTGCCACCGTCAACGCCGTCCATCATCGTCTCTGGGGCCGGGTGAAAGCAGAAAGCATCCGATCCCAGTTCCAGTGTACTATTTTGATAAGAGATTAGTGATAAACACTTTTCTGAAATTGGTTTGCTTTTTTAGCTTTCTATTGGTTTTCGGGGATGTGATGTGTGTGTAATAGTAATTTTGGCCCTCCCTGTAGTTTGGGTGCTCCACAGGTCAGCTGCTCCTTGTTCTAATGGTTTGAAAACGCTTTTAATTACTCCGATTTTTGTTTCATTGATCATTTGGATTTTCCTGTTGTTGGACTTGTGAGTATCTCAGTGAAATAGTCGCTGCGGTTACTCATTTCATGTCAAGCTCAGTGTTTCTGGATTGGCGGATTTGGCGTACTTCTTTGTTGTGCTGCTATTTCTACGAAATAGTCATAATCACTTTGAATCATCTTTCAGTTTGATGTTCTTTCAGAAAATCTGGCGTCACATTCGTGGTTTTATCACTTCAGAAAGCTCTTTCCCTTATACATTTGGCCAGTTTTAGCTGGAGGTGAGATTCTGGTCTGTCCCTGCCTTAACGCAGTTCCATTATTTCTTGATATGTAAATTGCCTCAGGCGCGATATTCGTTGACTGGAACCACACCAGGGAATGGAAAGCGAACGGGCGGCAGTCCGTGTTACAGAAAGAACTTTTGAGGAAAGCACAGCCAGAACTGCAGAATGGTTCTGCTTAGGTAGCAGCTGTTATATTTCTTCTAGATATGGCTTTTGCTCCATTCTTTGTAGTGCTTTAACTGTAGTAAAGAGTTAGGTATAGCCATGGTCGTGTTGATATATTGCCGTGTTAGTATAATATATAGTGTAGACACTGTTCAGATTACGCTCGATGGCGTTGAATAACTGCTCATTTCTTGTTATTCCGAGATTCTCTCTCTGTTATTGTTCCTTATTGAAAAGGTTCTGAAAGTTATAGCAAATGAAACTGGTTGAGATATGTTCACATAATTACAGAAATATGAACTCGTCAGTGCTTAGTCAGCGATTTTTGTCAAAAACTGGAGCGCTACTTCCTCCTGTCTCTCTGAATTGCAAATGTTTCCGAACAAAATGACGAGAGCGGTGATCCTTTAAAGTAAAACGTCAGCATTAGTCATCCTCTAAGACGAATTTCGGGTTGGTTAGAAAAGCATGCTTGATGGCATGTCTAACCAAGGAATGGTAGTCTACTTATCTTGGGACTTTGGATGGAGACCCAGATGAATCGATAGAGTTTTGAATGCTGTTTACGAAAATGGAAATTGAAGCTGCAAAATGGTTCTCCTTAAAAAGTTATCGGGGCCCGAATTTTGCTCGACAGTAGTATCGATGGGATATGCGAACTCGTCGCTTCGATATCAAGTGCCCTCGTGACCTTGGGTAGTGGTCTCGCTTCATGGGCGTAAGTTGGGGGTTTGGTTCCCGCCATCGCACGTATTTTTTGCAAAGTGTTACTGAATTCCGTTAAAGGCTTTCTAAACGCTTTCTGACATTTCTTCAGTGAACGCCTCATTTCTGCTTTTATTTTTTCTCGTCATCCCTATTCAAGGAAAGTGGTTCTGTACGTTGATGGTATGACTCTTTCTTAATTAAAATCCAAGGAACATTCAACAGAAAATTACCAGAGCTGTATAAGATGCCTGCAAGAAACCAACGTTGATGGAAACCTTTAAAAAATGTGTGAACCACGCATGTTCTTCACAAACTATGCACCTCATGCATGTGATTCTCTACGTCCGGTGACAAAAAAGTTAATCGTCTCAATATAAACAGTCAATCGTCTCGATCGTAACTTTCTGTTGAATGTTCCTTGAATTTTTAAATAAAAAGGAGCCATACTATAACGTGGCAGAGCCACTTTCCTTGAATAGGGGCGACGAGAGAAAATAGAAGCAGAAATGAGGCGTTCACTAAAGAAATGTCAGAAAACTTTTAGAGAGCATTCGATGAAATTAAAAACACTGTGAAACACTTTGCAAAACTCGAGCAATGGTGGGGAGCAAACCCTCATCCTAGGCCCATGAAGCGAGGCCACTACCCCAAGGCCAAGTGGGCACTTGATATCGAAACGACGAGTTCGCATATCCAATTGATACTACTGTCGAGCAGAATTCGGGCTCCCGAAACTTTTTAAGGAGAACCGTTTTGCAGTTTTAATTTCCATTTTCGCAAACAGCATTCAAAACTATATCGACTCATCGTGTCTCCATCCAAAGTTCCAAGATAAGTAGGTTTCCCCTCCGGTAAGTTCTGCCGTGCGGTGAATAGTCTCGAAGGCTCTAAGTTTGTATCATGTGAAATTTAAATACATATACAGCTACGGATAGCGCAGTGGTCAGAGAGGTGCAATCATGGACCCGAGCTTGAACAGGTTCGATCCGTCGGTTCAGACAGCAATCATTGTTAGACCGACGTGGAATGATGAATTGTGACTTCCTCGTCCTGTCAGAATCGTCTGCGAATGCAGGGAATTGCCCTGTTTTTATGGCTCATTGCAATCGTTGCCATCAGTCTCATGGCAACAGTCGACTGCATATATCGCTTGCATATATTTGCACCATACTGGAATCCTTTTTTCGAAACATAATAGAATCGCGGTGGTGGTCGCCCCATTTTTGGTAATATAAGCCGTGTTCGTGTTCTACGAGAGCATGATAATACTGCACTATGGCTTCACGAGGCTGATATAGCTATTGTACACAAAAGTTCAAAATGTAGTTTACTTAGACTCGGCAAAACCTTAGTTTTTGTTTCCATAGACCTGAAGGTAATCCTTCGTTCCCATTATTTTTTTGAAAACTAACGAATCGAGAATGGAAGCATTCTGAAGAAAAGCGACTCCTTGCCGTAAAAAATGCACATCGTCTTCGTTCCCAGGTTTTGACGCTTGCTGCTTAACTGTATTCTGGTTTTTAACAAAGTAAAACCCGTTTCTTCTGCTCCTTTTACTTTTGAGATCCACTCGCTTCAGTTGCTACATAGACGCTTCTGATGTGACATCTCGTCATCAGCTTGGGCTTCATAGATACCTACGCTCCATGTGAACAAGCGAATGTATTCAAATGAGAATGTAATTAGCAGGTCCTCGTTTTTGAGCACTTATTTGGTTGGTTTGAAATTAGCCACATACAGGAGACTTGTCGATAACGAAGCAAAGGTCATGAGTCGGAAGAGGACGGGAGGCTTTGATTTTACTGCTTCCATTCCTATCCAGATTGCGCTCTATACATTTGAATTCCATCCAATCTTGAAGTAGAGAATTTTCTCTTTTGCCATTTCGGTACAAAACACAACTCCTTGTGTGGAGCTTTGCTGAGTTCACATGTGCTCTTTCCATCTTGTCCTATGCCTCATCCATATCAAACTTGACCCGACCTTTTCAGGTGCTTCCTCGCGTAATCTAAAATTTCGTGATAGATAAACAGACAGACAGGCAGACACGGATTATCATATCTACTAATTGTAAGATAGAGGTGATGACTCTATTTGTAGTGAGCAATGATTATGGTTTGGAGCTTTGGATTTTTGGCCTTAGCTCCGCCCACCCCAGCGCACGCTCCACCTACTGTGATGTGATGGTTTAACCATCTTCACTTCAACAAATCCATACCACTTTATTGCCGACTCTAGAACCTTCTTTACTAGAGTCATGGACTAGATCTCAGTTCCGTCGACCTTGGCGCAAGCTCCACGCATCATTGTCAGTTTGATCGTAATTCCATCTGCAGCTTCTTTTTGTGAAAAGCTCCTTCTATTCAGAAAGTTGTGCCAGCCACAGTAGTGAAGGAGCTTTACGAAGTTTACGAATGCCTAGCACACCTTAGGCCTCGTTATTCCGTATTTTTCTCCTGGCCTTTAGGCTTTCATAGAATCGAGTTAAAAATTTATGTATTATAGGAAGTACCGCCTACTTTGAGGACATTCTACCAGCCTCAAGTGGGACTCCTTTGCCTGACTTCTTAACCCATTCCTAACCTTTGCCCACTGTTTGGGCTTTTCTGAGACGAAAATTAGAAGTTTTGTTCTTGGTCTCGCCCATTTCATTGCACGTCCCAACGATATCGCCAACGATAACCTCAAAGAAAGTATGTTTTCTCTGTGAAACTCCT